TGTTCACCTTTGCTTCTTTCAAAGAGGTCTTGTATAAAATGTGTTAAGTATAATGGGGCAATACTAGGAGAGTCTAGCCTTAGACCTATGTTTTGCCACAAAGCAATGTAGAATTAAAATAGAAAAATATTAGCTGTACATAGAATAAAAGGGGCGCTGACATAGTGGTTTCAGAGCTACTGAGGAAGGTCGACAGCCAGGGTGAGGGTGGGGCAGGGAGCAGGAGTGGCATCTCCAGCTCTTTGTGGTTATTATTAGTAGAGCAGAGAAGCCCCCACATCCCAGGGGCCAAACCAAGTACAAGTTTAGGTTCAGAGATGGCCCTGTGCAGGATGGGCTACTTCATTTGTGTTACAGGGAAACACTCATTCAATCACAGTTCGACCACAGCGAATAGAGAAAGGATGCTGGGGACGCAGAAGCTCGGGGTCAGGGGTGTATTGGAGGGGTCTGATGGCGTGCACAGCATGCCCGCCCATATTCTATTGATCAGAACCCATTAATGATGTACGGTGTGTGTGGGGGGTCCCACTGTCGGGTCTGAGGCCACTGGTGTGGGAGTAGCCCATCTGCTGTGTCCCCACTCTGTCAGGGCTTTGAGGAAAGTAACTTTTTCATTGTGTTGCTGAAAATTGAACCCAGGGCCTTATGCATACTGGATAAGCGCTCTACCACTGAGCCCACACCCCAGCCTGAAGGTGACTTTTCTCTGTCTTTTAGAGCTTTAATTTGAGTGAGGTTCTTATCTGAATTTTACAGTGCTGTGATTTCCCCAAACCTCGATGGTGACAAGAGGTTGTGCAGCTTTGGATCGATGACATGAAGGTGCTGTGTCACATCAGCACAGAAGGTCCCCATGGCTGTGAGTAGGAGCTCTCAGTCTGAGCTCGAGCTTTAAGACAACTAGAATGTTCGCCACGCAAGCCTTATTACCAGAGCCTGAAACACAGATGGTTGGAACAGTGGCTTCAAAGGGGTGTATGTGTGTGGGGGTGGTATTTTATCAACTGTGTTGTTCAGGTGTCCCTTAGCTGCGGTCTTGCTGATTGGGCCTTGCTCTCCATTGTAGAAAGGTGGGCATTCCTGTGAGCTGGGTTCTCCTGGCCGAGTTCTGACTGATGGACTCGCCTCTCCTGTGTCTGGGAGTCGGGATGGTGCTGTCCCCTGCCTGCTGCCCCCAACCCTGATCTACCTTTGGAACCCCTGAGCCACCAGAGGCATGAGCTCAAGGTTCAGGCTGACATGGTGGGGCACAGCCCACTGAGGCCACCTGCGGGTATTTGAGGGATCCCTTCCATACAAGCCTAGGACTGGGCTCTGGGAAGGCTGTCATGGGAAGGCAGGGATCTGGCAGTGATTGCTTCCCAAAAGCACAGAGGCGGCTGGTGGATTTTCAAGGTGAAATGTTTGGTCCCGACTGCCTGTAAATCAGTTGTGTAATTATTGGCTGGATAACCGTGGGCTCTCTGCCTTGTTGTTAAGGTGTTTAAATGATCTGCTGAGCCCTTTATCCCTGGGCCCCCAAGTGATGTGAGGGTCTCAGATCCCACAGCCACTTTGAACTTGCTCCTTTCAATTCCAGAATCACATTGTCAGCCTAACCAGGAGCCTCTTTTTGTGTTCTGAGGCATCCAGTGCCCTGGGAACTCGCATGGCAGCTCTAGCCTGATCTTGGCGTTTATTCCTTACTGTCTTTGCCACACCCTCAAAACCCCTTCACCTTGGACCTGTCCTTGTGAAACGTACTGCTTTAATAGTGAACCATTCTTCCAGAGTTTAGGGGACCCGAGAGAGGAGAGAAAAGAACACTGACTACTGAAATCAGTCGTTCTAACACGTTTGAGGAAAATGCTTGGCTGTGGTATGTCCCTGACTTCTGAAGTGCCAGGACATCTGTCAACACTGGACAGTTGTGTGGATGCAGGGGAAGCACCCAGACATCCAGAGATGATTACGGGAGATTCCTCATCTCTACCAGGGCCCTGGTTCTGCAGTCCCTTGACCTGTGTTTTGGACTCTGGTACCCCTGGTCTGGGGCCCATGTTGAGGAGCACTCTGTAGAGGTCCTGCAGGGTACCATGTCACTGTAACCAGGGACACCGATGTAAAGTCCTAGGAGGTACGTGGTTGTCTTGGGGCAAAGGAACGCGGAAGTAGACTGCAGCCCCTCCCCCGCCCTGCACAAATGGCTTCTCCTTTTGGACTGAAGAGTGCCTTTTGCTTCAGAACAGTGGCTTTTCGGTGTCCAGCATGGATTCATTGAAGGCAGAAGAATTCAGTAGATGAAACTGGGTGACCACACTGTGTGAGCAGAAAAATGCCTTGTTTCTTTTTGCTTTTTCGAGTCAGGGTCTTGCTGTGTTTTTCTGGATGACCTGCTATTTGCTGTATAGCCCAGACTGGCCTTGAACTCATAGCAGTTTTGCCTCGGTTTCTCAAGTTTTGGCTTGAGCCACCACATCTAGCTAAGAAATATGTTTTTGATTAGAGGGTGGTGTTTGGATTGAACATGCTAAACTAAGAACTGACTGGACCTGGGGCAGGGAGATTTCAAGGCCGCCCCTTGCTGTACAGGGAGTTTTTCATTCCTTTACTCACCACACATCACTTGCCTCCTTCCCCTGCGTTATATGTTAGATGAGTGTGCTCTCTGTTTCAGTTCTAGGCTCTGGGGGTGGGCTGTCACTGTGGCCAACGTGCCTTCAGGTCCTGGGGTCTTGCAGGCTAGCTCGCTTTCCTCCTGTTTGCTCCTCTGAAGGCTCCTCTGGTAGACAGGGCAGGGAAAACACACCATAAAAAGATGTACTGATTTCAGAGTAGGAAACGTGTGGTCTCGAAAATTACAGCCCTCTGAGTGCAGCTTCAAATAAGTGAAAAGTTCACAAAGATGCAGTCAAGGGTAGTGTTGTGGAAATAGCCATCATCGGCTGCAGAGGAACGGGGTGGTTCTACAGTTACCCCACCCTGAATGTGCCCATCTCTGATCTCAAGACGCTAAGGAGCATCTGGCTGGTTAGTACTTGGAGGGGAGACGGCCTTGGGACACCAGTGCTGTAGGCTTTAAGGGTAGCAGAGCAGTCTCTCGGGGAGGCTGGCACACTGGGGGACAGCAGAGATAAGATATCTCTATGGGCAGCACTCACAGGCTGACAGTCTGGTGGAGGAGGCGGGAAGTGACTTCAGTGATGGCAGATAGGAAGGGCTCTGGGACCGTGGAGAAAACTGCACTCCAGATACAGCACCAACAGTAATCTCAGAATGCTGTCTGTCATGTGCCCGGATCTCTGTTTTGATATGTTTATGAAAAATAATATTTGTAGTGGCATTCCAGACTCATGATTCCAGACTCTGATTTGTACAGAGTTCATTCAGACAGATAGCACAAGCATGAACACTCTCACAGGCAAATAGGCAAAATCCAGTTTATCTTCAGTGCCCCTAGTGAGTATATAAGCAAGATGAGAAACAGCACCAATGAAGGCTTAGAGACCAGGCCGGTGGCCGTAGTGTGGGGGAGGGGTGAACTGAGGTCAGAAGTAGCCCCGGTACTGGGTGCAGGTCGGGGTTCAGATAGCAGTATGCTTCCAGAGTGCTGATGGGTGGGTATGTAAATGGTTACCCTTCCTATGTAAACGGTTAGAATCCATTTGGAAATGAGTAGAAAAGGTTCACAGGTTTTGACCCAGGAAGTATGTTTGCTGGAATTTAAGGTGATTACATTTTTACTCTGACTGTGGGTTGGTACTTTTGATTCCTACCCTGTCTTGTTCCAGAAATTACATGAATTCACCTACAGGGGCAGACAGGTACATCAGGGCAAGATGCCACCCATGAGGACATCATGTAGAGTACCAAGTGTCTTTCAGTGTGACATCCTGAGGGCTCAGGGCATGCCTTTGGGTTTCTGAACTCTTCTAATGGTTGCCTAATGGAGGGAGAAATCAAGAGTTTATAGAGTATAGCAAAGGGGGGTCGATGGAAAAGATCCCCAAACCAAGCGAAAGACCAGCAAGATGGCACGGGAAGCCCCGAGTGAGTGTGGTGACTAACACCCTCTAAATTTGTTCAAAGGCTCTTTGGGTCCAGCCTAGCTGGCTTTTGCAGCCTGTGGTAGGGTCCTAGCTTCCACATTCATCAAAGGCACCACCTTGATCATTTGGTTCTCTTCAGCCTACCCATCCCCAAAACTCTCCTGTGTCTCTTACTTTTTCTTGGTTCCTAGCTAGTTTTATCAGCCTCGAGGAATACCCTAAGCAGGGTTCCTAGTCATTTGTTAGGGGGATGACAATGCTTGGTTAAGAGGGTAGTACTCTGCTGTGGCCAGGGTGTCTGTAACCCAGCTGCCTCTGAACACTATTTCACAGGACCTCAATGGAAGACAGCTTGTGGCTAAAGTCAAACGAAAGAATGGAAGGTGTCGGTGAGGGTACTCTGACTGATCAGCAGAGTGTAGCAAAGGAAAAGCCAGACTCTCTTTAGCCCCGAGTCATGGGCGAGTCACCACCAGCCTCTCAAACCTGGTTTGCCTTCCATGAGAAGGAAGCTGTGCCTCCTGCTCTCCAGGCAAACCTTGCTTCTCTGGGGCAGGAAAAGGTGGATGTACGTACTGCCTGGCGCCTGCTGTCTTCCACTGGGTTTGTCCAGACTTTCTCCCTGATGGGTTAAGTAAACAGGAATCTTTCCAAGATGGATTTAGAAATGGTTGACTTGAGCAAACCACAGAACTAGGTGTAAAGATGTTTTAAAAAGCCATTTAGGGCTGGAGAGCTGGCTCAGCAGTTAAGAACGCTGCTTGTTCTTACAGAAGACCCGGGTTCGAATCCCAGCACCCACATGGCAGCTAACTGTCCATAAATCTAGTTCCAGGGGATCAGATGGCCTCTTCTGTCCTCACGAGCATTGCATGACACAGGTGCACTTACCTACATGCAGGCAATACCCTCATACACATAAAATAAAAATATTAAAAAGCCATTTATATTTTGCTCAGAGCATAAACACGATTGTTGAAAAGCTAGTTTACATCCAAGTTTACAAATTAAAAATAGCCTTTTGGGGGGGTGCTGGGGATGTAGCTCAGTTGGTAGAGTGCTTTCCTAGCATTCACAAAGCCCAGAGTTGATCCTCGGCATTCAGAAGATGAAGGTAGGAGAGCCAGAAGTTCAAGGTCATCCTTGGGTACATGAAACCCTGTCTCAAAAAATAAAACAAAAATTAGCCTTTGTTATTCAAAGCAGTGTGCGCTCATGGGAAGCACAGGTAAAGACCAGATGGGCAGTGCCGTTACCCAGAGCGGATTTTGGTCCTTGGCATCTGTCACATGCTCATTTCAGTGTGGGTTGGGATGAGCAAAGGCCGTGGAGGGATTTTATTTACAGCTCCGTATTTAGTGCCATGGGTGCCTCTCCCAGCCCCTTTGGAGCCTGGGAATCTGGGGTGGGAACCCAGTGGGGTCTTCCCTGCAAGTGCATTGCTATAGTGGCGTTTCTGGGCAGTGGGGCCACTTAGCTGTGGGTCTGTAGTAGTGAGATGAAGGAAGTGTTTCCACTCGAGTGCTTACTAGGTGGTGGACTAAGAAAGCTCAGTATTCCTGCCCGCCACACATGGAGTGACAGGAGAGCCCGTCGCACACACACACTGTCCTCATGCAGAGGCCAGAGGAAAGAGGAGGTGCAGCCAAGCTGAAGGTCATTCTCGAAGATCCCAGTGTGGATTTCCTGCAGATAAGTGACCCCCAAGATGTGACACATTTGAAGTGATGTGAACTAGATCCTAGTATTTATTACTCGTCAGCTGCGCCCCAGCCATGCAGTGTTGGCAGGCTTTGGAATGAGCCCACAGGATTTTAAAGATGCTCTTTTTTCCTCCCACATGACATTGCTCGATTACAGTCTCATCAGAAAGCGCCTTGGACTTATGCTTTATTTTCACATTAGGCAAATGGCCTTCAAATTAAAAGAAAAATATCCAAAACAATGTATCAGGATCTCAGAATTGTCCACCCAGCTGTGTCTTGGACAGAATTGAGTGGTGACAGGGACCTAGCCGTGTGATTTCAGTCCCCGCCTGTCTCTGTCTCTGTGATTTGCATTCATGTAAGAAGCTTACGAACTTTGAAAGAAAATGACTTTCCGATGGAATCATAGCATTTCAAACAAACCTCTTCCAGGAATAAAGAATATTAATTACTCTATCCAAAGCAGTCCCTCTTCCCCATTGTGGCATGTGTAAATCGAGACGTTTTTGTGTTTGGTACAAGGTCAGTGTAGATTGAAAAGCAGATGTAAGCTTTGAAAAATCTATTTGTGCAAGATTGAGATGGTTTAAGCAAATGTACAGGTGCCAGAGCCCAGGGCCGTGGTTTCTGCTTTTGTTCCTGAAGCGCCCCATTCCCTCAGGAGGTCAGCATTTGAGGCGCCGTGGGGTTGTGGAGTGTTACCAAACTGAGCTGAAGATGGTAATAGACACCAGGCTCAAGTCATGAGCCCTGGCTTTAGATTGGTGGAGTCCTGTGGCCTCTTTCAAAGCTGCAGAAGCTGGGCTGGCCGACTCCTGCTGGCATGAAGGCCCGTTTCCTGAAGTTCACAGGCGGTGCTCTCCCCACCCCACTTTGCAAAGGGAGGCGGAAGGTGGGTCATCAGACCCTCTCATCTCATCAGTTAGGGCCAATTACAAGGCTTTGCTGGCAAGGCTGTGAGTCAGATCATGGGCAGGGCCCTGGCTCGATGTGTCGCTCTGCAGGCGCCTTGTCTCCTGAAGGGATAGTCAGTGAACAGTTATCCAGGGATGCATTTCTAGTACATCCCACAGAGCGTAACTTGGATGTGTTAAAGGCTGTGTGTGTGTGTGTGTGTGTGTGTGTGTGTGTGTGAGAGAGAGAGAGAGAGAGAGAGAGAGAGAGAGAGAGAGAGAGATTTGTTCTATGGATTTATAGAGAAGGTCAGCCTCCTACCTCACCCTCACCCCCAGCAAGACAGGGACTATATCACTGGTGCGTCCAGTAAGTAACTGCTTAGTCACGAGACTTCCAAGAGAGCCAAGGAAATGCAGAGCCTGGGGAAGACAGGCTATTTTCCCTGCAAGGCTGCTGGGGTTGTCCGTCTCCTCAGCCTGCTGCCCCCATTCTCATGGCCTCCAGGGCTGCACCTGCTGCTGCTGGCTAATGAGGCCGCATATAGAGAGAGAATATTGCTGCCATCTGTCTTCGTGCCTCGTGTCCCAGTGGAGACAGATACCTGGGTCCAGGAAGATGCAGCTGTGTGGTTGTGTTCAGAGCTACAACCCAGGACAGTTACCATCCAGAGACTGGATTTTCGTCCAATATTGCAGCCGTTAGCATCTTAGCTTTCAAAGCAGGGGGTGGGGAGTCCTAGCTTTGCCTCAAGGTTCTGTAGTTGATAGGGCTGAATACAGCCACACACAGACTCCTGTGACATTTGACCAGTGCATGCACGGCTTTCAAGTGAATCTCAGTCTTCATGGGAGGCAGAAATGAGACTCTAGGTAAGCTGACCTAACCTACCTGGGTGCATGTCCCCAAGAGTGTGACAGTGAGTTTAAGCTCTGGGGGAGACTGCTCTTTCCAGGTGGAGAGGTGGGACTCTGCCCTAAGAAACAGGAGGCCTCCCTGGAGCCTCCAGCTGACTGACTCCAGGTGCAGATGAGAGTGTGCACTGGCCATGCACTCTGGACACTTTACGCTGTCACTGTCTTGATTTTCTCCTGAGAAAAATCCTCTGTGAGTCCAAATGTGGCATCTCTCGCTGAGTGTTTCCCTTTAATTGTATGTCGTGTGTGCTTGTGTATGTATGCCACTGCCAACGCAGAGGTCAAAGGACAGCTCGGGAAGTTGGTTCTCTCTTTCCACCTTATGAGTATTGGGGATTGAACTCGGGTCATTCAGGCTTGGTGACCAGTGCCTTTACAAGCTGTTAGAAATAAAATTCAAGGTCCAAGACTCCCATCAGTACCTCAGAAAGAACACGCAAAGTGAAAGTTAACTTGGCAAGGCAGATTGTCCTTTTGTAAAAGGATGTCTTGTGTGGTCAATCAGATCCAACAAGTATACACCAGACCTGGAAGCTTGGTGGGCCTTATTTTATCCCTAACATAAGAGAACTGTGGCTTTTCCCCATTGGCTGGGGTCCAACCCCACAGTGTTTCCCAGTTGGTTAACTTAAAAGAATTGGCACTAATTAAAAAAGGGTGTGTGTGTGTGTGTGGAGAGATGGCTCAGTGGTTAAGAACACTGACTGTTCTTGCAGAAGAC